ACACAGGCCACTGCGCGTGCTCCGTGCACTTCCCCACACACACACACACACACACACAGGCCACTGCGCGTGCTCCGTGCACTTCCCCACACACACACACACACACACAGGCCACTGCGCGTGCTCTGTGCACTTCCCCACACACACACACAGGCCACTGCGCGTGCTCTGTGCACTTCCCCCACACAAACACAAACACACACAGGCCACTGCGCGTGCTCCGTGCACTTCACACACACACACACACACAGGCCACTGCGCGTGCTCTGTGCACTTCACACACACACACACACACAGGCCACTGCGCGTGCTCTGTGCACTTCCCCACACACACACACAGGCCACTGCGCGTGCTCTGTGCACTTCCCCACACACACACAGGCCACTGCGCGTGCTCTGTGCACTTCCCCACACACACACACAGGCCACTGCGCGTGCTCTGTGCACTTCCCCCACACAAACACACACAGGCCACTGCGCGTGCTCTGTGCACTTCACACACACACACACACACAGGCCACTGCGCGTGCTCTGTGCACTTCACACACACACACACACAGGCCACTGCGCGTGCTCTGTGCACTTCACACACACACACACACACACATAGGCCACTGCGCGTGCTCTGTGCACTTCCCCCACACACACACACAGGCCACTGCGCGTGCTCTGTGCACTTCCCCCACACAAACACACACAGGCCACTGCGCGTGCTCTGTGCACTTCACACACACACACACACACAGGCCACTGCGCGTGCTCTGTGCACTTCACACACACACACACACACAGGCCACTGCGCGTGCTCTGTGCACTTCACACACACACACACACACAGGCCACTGCGCGTGCTCCGTGCACTTCCACACACACCCACACAGGCCACTGTGCGTGCTCTGTGCACTTCCACACACACACACACAGAGGCCACTGCGCGTGCTCTGTGCACTTGCCCACACACACACACACACAGGCCACTGCGCGTGCTCTGTGCACTTCCACACACACACACACACACACAGGCCACTGCGCGTGCTCTGTGCACTTCCACACACACACACACACACACACAGGCCACTGCGCGTGCTCTCTGCACTTCCCCACACACACACACACAGGCCACTGCGCGTGCTCCGTGCACTTCCCCACACACACACACACACACACAGGCCACTGCGCGTGCTCCGTGCACTTCCCCACACACACACACACAGGCCACTGCGCGTGCTCTGTGCACTTCCCCACACACACACACAGGCCACTGCGCGTGCTCTGTGCACTTCCCCCACACAAACACACACAGGCCACTGCGCGTGCTCCGTGCACTTCCCCCCCCACACACACACACACAGGCCACTGCGCGTGCTCTGTGCACTTCACACACACACACACACACAGGCCACTGCGCGTGCTCTGTGCACTTCCACACACACACACACACACACACACAGGCCACTGCGCGTGCTCCGTGCACTTCCCACACACACACACAGGCCACTGCGCGTGCTCTGTGCACTTCCACACACACACACACACAGGCCACTGCGCGTGCTCTGTGCACTTCCACACACACACACACACAGGCCACTGCGCGTGCTCTGTGCACTTCACACACACACACACACAGGCCACTGCGCGTGCTCTGTGCACTTCCACACACACACACACACAGGCCACTGCGCGTGCTCTGTGCACTTGCCCACACACACACACACACACAGGCCACTGCGCGTGCTCTGTGCACTTCCACACACACACACACACAGGCCAGTGCGCGTGCTCCGTGGGCCGGGCCGGGCCTGTCTGTGGGATGCCCGTCAAGTGACGGCCTGGGTCCCCGGAGCCGCGGACTCCACGAGCAGCCTCCGCGCCCCTGTGGGGCTTTCCTCCCATCTTCCCAGCTCCTCCCGTGGGGTCGCAGCCCCAGGGACCGCGCTGCAGAGGTCAGTGCCAGGAAAGGCCCAGACGACGCGTGAAGAACGTGCTGGAAGGGGCGGGGAGCGGGCCGGGAGCGGCTCTGTACGTGTGCGCGGGGCTGGGCTCCACGCGCACCACCGCAGAGGCTGCGCCGCCACGCCCTCCCCACGCGTGGGGGCCCCGACATCACTGGGGGAGCCCGGCCTCTGCCCGCCACGCGCCCCACCACCACGCACACGCAGCCACGGGCAGCCCCTCCACATGAGCCAGCGAGGGCGCGGGGCTGAGCCCTCTGCTCTGAGCCAGCGCGGCCCGGCCCACCTCCAGCTGGCGCGTGGGAGCAGGCGGGGCCAGCCACGCCACAGACCCTCTCGCGCACAGACCCTCCCCCCCACGCAGACCTCCGCGCACACAGGCCCTCCCTCCACCCCCCCACCTCCGCGTAGACCCCCCCCCACAGACCCGGGTGCGCACAGACCACACCCCACACAGATTCCCTCCCCCCTCGCACGCACAGAACCCCCCCCGTGCGCAGACACACTGCCCCCCCCTGCACGCACAGACCCCACTCACAGACCTCTGCACAGAGACCCCAACGCAGAGATCCCCACTCAGAGCCCCCCCCACGAACAGACCTCCGTGCACAGACCCCCACGCAAATACCCCACCACGCACAGATCCTGGCACACAGACACCACCACCCCCCCCACAGACCTCCACGCACAGACCTCCACTCACAGACCTCAGCGCACAGACCCCCCCATGCACAGACCCCCGTGGGCACAGATCCCCACGCACAGACCCATGCGCAGACCCCCGCTCAGACACCCCTACCCCCCACAAAGACCCCTGCGCAGACCTCCGCACACAGACCCGCGCACACAGAACCCTAAGCACAGACCTCCCCACACACAGACCCCCGTGCACAGATCCCCATGCACAGACCCATGCACACAGACCCCCACGCGCACAGACCCCCGCTTGCACAGACACCCCTACCCCGCACACAAACCCCTGTGCACAGACCCCCTGCACACAGACCCCTGCGCACAGATCCCCATGCAGACCCATGCGCACAGACCCCCATGCGCACAGACCCCCGTGCGCACAGACCCACGCACACAGACACACCCACCCACAGATCCCTGTGCGCACAGATACCGCCCCCCTCCCCGGCACAGACCCCTGCATGGGCGGTGGAGCTCAGCACCCAAGCCCGTTACACAGCAGGGCCTGGTCGCCGAGCCGGGAGTCGAGCTAATCCGGCGGAGCACAGTTCCCTCTGTGTGCACCCTGGCAAGCCTGCGGCGCAGTCCACCCACCGCGTTCCCTGCCATGGCAGCTACCCACGCGGGAAGGCGCCGTGGGAGCCCGCGTTCTTGCCTCTGAACTCCGCCAGCCCCTCTCCCCAAGCCTCAGCCACGAAGTCGCAGCAGACACCATCTGTGAAATCCAGCCAGCTAGGAAGCAGCTCTGGTTAACTCCTCCAAGCCTGTCAACCGAGCCCAGGCGGCAGAGTACCTTTCAGGAATTCCAGCCTTCCTGTCTGAGCTACTGCTAAATATAGTTTCCAAACTGCCACCTCCCGGTGCCCCTGGCCGAACACGTCGCTGGCGCTGGGCTCGGCCCTGGCAGCACAACAGGGCCCGGAGCCCACCAGCAGCGCCTTCGGGGTGACACCCCTCCCCTGCCACCACCAGGCCCCCAAGACGCGCACGGCCACCAGGCCGCAGAGCCGCGGACTCGCGGTGGGCCAGGGCAGGGCAGGGCAGGCCGGGCACCGCCGAGGCTCGCACGGCAGCTCCGGCTGGGGAGTCCCAGTCACGCGGGAACATGACCCAGCCCGTGCTGACCCCCGCGGGGGACGACATAGCAACAAAATCGCCACTTCGGGAGGCCCGTCCCTCTGTCCTTCTCGGGAGGAGGCCGGGGACCCCAGGCTGAACCCGCCCGGAACCCCGAACGCCCGTGACGGCGGCCTGTCAGGGCAGCCGGTCAGCAGGCTGCGCCTGCAGGACGGAGGTCGGCAGCCGCCCGGTGGGAAGGGCCGTGACTCTTACCTCCAATGAACCACCGACAGCCAGAGGTGAGCTGCGGCTGGGGGCAGCGCCCAGGTCAGGCTCGGGCAGGACGCACAGACGCACGCACGCACGCACACACGGCCAGGCCGCCGCGGGAGCCCGAGCCAGGAGCCCGGCTCAGCGCCGGGGTCACCTCAGGGCGCCTCGCGGACAGGCAGGGACAGACAGACAGCAGCGCCGCACGGACAGGCGCCGCTGGTGTTTACAGAGACGGAGAGAAAGTTAAAGTTGCCTGCTTCTCCTCCGGCTGTCTGCGAGCCTGGGGGGGTTCTTGGAGCGGAGGGGAGGACGCGCTCTCGGGCTCCCGCGGTGCGGTGGGGGTCCCGCGGCGGCGGGGGAGGGGAGGCGCCGTCATTTGAGATCCGCCTCCTCCAACCCCGCACCGAGGTGGTGGGGAGCTGCCCGAACTCCCGCGAGGGCGGAAACCCCCGGGTTTGGCCTTCCCCCGTCCCGGTCGGTCCGGCGGGCAGCAGAGCCCTGGCGCCGGCCCTGGACATCACCCCATTCCGGGCGGCCCGGGGCTCGGGGCGCGGGGCGCCGCGTCTGCGGGTGGCGAGCGGCCCCTGGCTTGGGCGCTGGGGCGGGGGGGGGGGGGGCTCCGTGAGGCTGAAAGCAGGGGCGCGAGGGGACGCGAGGAGGGGCTGCGGACGCCGGACGGCGCTGGCCCGGACGGCCTCAAGGCCCCGCGGGTGTTCCGCGAGCGGGGGCTCCGCGGCCCCAAGCCCCCGCTGGAAACGGGCCGGGAGGGCGCCCGGGCGGAAGGGGCCAGGCCGCCGGGCGCGCGCCCCCGCCCACCCCACCGCCCCGCAGGCGGAGCGAACCCCAGCGGTGCCCCCGTGCGCGGGAAGGGACCCGCGGGCCGCGGGGGTCGGGCGGACGGGGGTCTCGCCTCGGACCCCTAGGGGGTCCCCAGATCTATCCAAGCTGCCCAGGACTGGAAACGCGGGGAGCCAACTTCGCGCGCGGCGGCTGGGGTCGGGGACGGGGTCCGGGACGCGTTACCTGGGCACCGGAGCGCAGTCAGCGCCAGCAGGAGCCCGAGCGGCGGCGCCCGGCCGGGGGGCGGCATGATCCTCGGCGCGCGGCGGGCGCGGTGCGGGGCCGCTCCTGTGCGCGCCCGGTGCGGCCCGGCCCGCGGTTCCGGGGAGCGAGACCCCGCGCCTAGGGCCGGGCGCCAGGCATGGCGGGCTCCCAGCGCGCCGCTCCTCCCCAGACGCAGGCGCCGGGGCCGGCGGCGCCTCCGCGCGCTCTCCCGGGCTCGGCCGTGCGCGCCCGGCGAGCTGGGGCCCGGCTCAGCGCCGCGCGCCCTCGCCCGCCGCCCCGCTCTTGGCCCCGGTTGCGCGGCCCCCGCCGCCGCCGGCGCCGCGGCTCCTGCGCCCCAGCGCCCGTCCCATCCCGGCCGCGCCGCGCCGCCTCGGCCAGCGCCAGCTGCCGGCCGCCCTCCAGCCAGCGAGCGAGTGAGCGAGCGACCGAGGGCGCGAGCGCCGCCAGGAGGGAGGACTGCGGGAGGGAGGGGCCGGGAGGGGCGGGCGTGGGAGGGGCCAGCGGGGGGAGGGGGAACCGGGCACCGGCGGCCGCACCACCGGCAGGCGGCCGGACGATGCGGGGGGCGCCGGGCCGCGGGAGCGGAGTGCGGGGCAGGGCGGGCCGGGCCTCCAGCTGACCAGAGTGCGGGGCAGGGCGGGCCGGGCCTCCAGCTGACCAGAGTGCGGGGCAGGGCGGGCCGGGCCTCCAGCTGACAAGAGTGCGGGGCGGCCGGGCCTCCGGGCAGGTGGGAGGGGAGCGGAGTGCGGGGTGAGGCCCGCGGACGGGACGGCGACGTCAGGGGCGGTCGCGTGGCCGGGCGCAGACGCCTGCGGGGGGCGGGCGCCGCGCGAGGTCGGGGCGCGGGCCGGGCGCCGTCCGCAGGGGCAAGGCGGGGCCCCGGACCCGAATCGGCCCGAGTTTTTCCGTGCCGTGGGCGAGGCCTCAGCCCGTGCGGGGAGGGAGGTCTCAGGTCAGAGGTCACGAGGGTCAAAAGCCGTTGATCCGTTCGAATGAATGAGTCTCGCCGGGCGCACGGGTCCCGTCTTCCGCCCCCTGCCCCCCCCCCCCCCCGCAGGCCTGGAAAGTTCTGGCCGCGCTGGAAGATCTGGCTGGGATCCTGCCCCGCGCGTCCCCCCGCGCCTGCCCCGCGCTCCAGCCTCTGTTTTTCAGGGTAGGAAAGTGGGTCAAACTCTTTAGAAACAAAGACGACGTGGGGACGCCGCGGCTGGCTTCTGGGCTGAGACCCGCTCCGCCCGCCGGGTCTCCACCCCAGCCGGCCTCCGCCCCGCTGATGGAGCCATCTGGGCGCTCGCCTGTTCCTGGGGACACGGCCCTCCTGGCGCCCCGCACCGCGGGCCAGGCCCCCGACCTGGGCCTGGACCTGCGCCCGCCCGAGTGGACGCGTCTGAAGAGCCTGATGGGGCTCCGGGCACAGCCCCGCACCGGCCCTGCACCGCCGGCCGGCGGGGCGCGGGGCACGGGGCGCGGGGTGCGGGCCCGGCCTGCCCGTGGCGCGGCACCCGCAGTCCTCCGGATGACCGAAGGACGTAGCCGGGGCCGCCGGCCTGGCCTGGGCAGTTGGGAGCCGGCCCGGCCCGGAGGTGGCGCCCTGCAAAGCCCTTTGGGCCTCCCAGGGCTGGACAGTGGGAACCCGGGACGTGGGAGGCCCAGCGGCCCCTCACCCTTTTTCTCCCCCAGGCTCGCGTTTCCTCGAGCTGAGCGCCTAGTGCGTGCAGGGAACGTGCGGCGAGGGCCACGCCTAGGGGCGGCAGGTCACAGCCGGGGACTCGCCAACCCTGTCCCCCAGCCGGCTTGCCCTCGGCCTGCCCTCCCCAGCCGGCCTGCCCTCCCCAGCCGGCCTGCCCTCCCCAGCTGGCCTGCCCTTCCCCGGCCCCCCCCAGCCGGCCTGCCCTCCCCCCGGTCCCCCCCAGCCAGCCTGCCCTCCCCAGCCGGCCTGCCCTCCCCCCGTCCCCCCCAGCCAGCCTGCCCTCCCCAGCCGGCCTGCCCTCCCCCTGGTCCCCCCCAGCCAGCCTGCCCTCCCCAGCCGGCCTGCCCTCCCCCCGCCCCCCCAGCCGGCCTGCCCTCCCGCCCTCCGGAGGCCGGGGTGGGGTGGGGAGGGTCTGCTCTGGGATGAGTTCCGCACTCTCTCAGCTCCCGTGCCGACGCGGGAGAGCCCAGCCCCCATGGGTGGTGCAGGTCGCGCCCCGCACCCGGCAGGGCAGGAGTTCAACCTGTCCGGGCTGTGGAAGGCAGAGGTCGGCCCGGGGCAGGGCCGCCCCGAACGCCAGACCTCCCCTGCGTCCACACGGGGAAACTGCGGCCGCACGGGCCGCCCCACGTTCCGCACGCGTGGGTCCCGCCCAGGGGCGTGCCGGCCCCGCCCCGCCCCGCCACATCGCAGCCCGCACCCAGCGGACCTGGCGGCCCGGGCCACGCCCCTCCGGCCGCGGCCACGCCCCTCCGGCCGCGGCCACGCCTCTGCCAGAAGCCCCGCCCCTCCGCGCGCGGCCCCCGCCGCCTCCACCGCATCTCGGCCTCTGCCAGGAGCCCTGCCCACACTTCCACCCGCCCACCCCTCCCACCCCTCCCCCCATCTCTCCCCCCACCCCGGAGCCTGCCCACACCGCCTGGCATCTGCCCGCGGCCCCGCCCCCGCGTCTCCCAGAAGCCCCGCCCACACCTCCGCCCCCGCGTCTGCCCACAGCTCCACCGCATCATAGAGTAACGTCGCCATCTCGTGGTCAGGGCCGGCACTGCAGGCTTCCGGAGACACCCCCACCCCCCGGGCCTGCGGGCCGGGCACGCGGGGGCAGCTGGGCACAGACCTTCCAGGAGCCCGCCCGCCGAGGCACCGGAAACCGACAGCTGCCCGAGCCGTAGGCCTCGACCTTCCCGGGTCACGCCATCTCTGCAGACCGCGGCTGCCTGGGGTCACATTCGGAGGCCAGCCCTGTCCTCTCTGGTCGCTCGTGGCCAAGGCCAGGACCCCTGGGCTTGAGCGGACGCGTCCAGGACGCACTGGGTGAAAGGTGGGTGATGGGTAAATGATGGGCAGACAATCGCCGGGTGATAGGCGATCGGTGATGGGTAGATGACGGGTAAGATGGATAGAGGTGACAGCTCATGTGGATGGACGTGGGTGGACGGACAGGTAGCCAGGTGATGGGCGGATGGAGGGAGGGATGGCAGAGCGATGGTTTGACGCAGGCAGGAGTGGATGGATGGGCAGGTGGTGGGATGGAGGGATAGGTGAACTTGGAGATAAACCCAGGGGACAGATGAATGGTGGGTGCGTGAGTAATTTGACACAGGATGGATGGATGGATGGACGGACTGAGGATGGAAAATGGAGGGTGCAATGGATGGAAACGGCTGAGGAAACAGGATCACAGGACAGATACAGAGCGGAGCCGTGGGCAGTGGTGCTGCTGCCGCCGATGAGAGCTGAGGACAGAGGGACTGGAGTCGCGCCCCGAAACAGCAACGCCTGACCATGCGTGGGGGGCACTCGGTCCCACCCCCGCCTCGCAGGCCCAGCCCCGGGCCTCACCCAGCGGCTCAGAGCAGAACCCGGCAGGCAGGCTCTCCGGTGTCCGTGAGGACGCTTCACCTCCCACCCGCCACACCGGCAGGCTGAGGACCTGCGGGGGAGACGCTGAGGCTCCGGGAGCCCGAAGCCATCCGGGGGCAGAACTGGGGCTGCAAGTGAGAATAAAGATCCACAAGGCCCTCTCCCAGCCACGCAGTGGCCTGTCCGACTCCTCAGGCTCTCGTTCTGTCCTGTTTTGTAGGGCAGGAAATGGAACCCACGGCCATGCGCATGCCTGAGGCCTCCGCCGCAGCGTGGGACCCCGTCCAGGGGAGCTGTCCTCCTGACAACGTGGCCTCAAACCAAGATCCTCGGCTCCAACTACCCGGGCTGGCCGGGTGTTGCTCCTCTGTCCTGCTCGGTGCAGGAGCGCGCTGAGGCCCGGCAGGTGAAGGAGGAGTGGAAGTCATAGTTGGCAAGCAGCAGCGCCAGCCTCTCTCCCCCACCCTTGGCAGGGCGAGTGACCGCCCCAGAGGCGGGCCGGAGACCCTCGTCAGCCCCATGGCCTGGTGGAAGCCAGGCCTGGCTTCTGGAACGCTTAGAATGTGCAGCCGGAGGGAGCCGCGGCCAGTGAACCCCACACATAACCGCTGCCTGCGGTGGACAGCCCGGCGGGTGAGGAAAACCGGCTGCCAGCTGGGGAGACCTCCCTGAGCCTGCCTCACTCATTCATTTATTCAATCATTCACTCACATCCCACCGCGCCGGGAGCCCAGTTCCATGTACTGAGAAGGTGATAAGAATCAGGGCAGTCCGTGCTCCCGGGCCAGGGTGAACCACACGATCACCTAGGCTCAGCAGAGGCCAGAGGACGGTGAGCGGGAGGCGGAGGCTGCGTATTTTTAGAGCAGAGGAGGTGGTTTTAAGCAGGAGGGACCATGCAGGTGACATTCAAGCAAGCTCATCAGATGGGGCAGAGCATGCGTGGAGCAGAGCACAGAGGCCTGAGGCCCGGCCAGGCCCTCCCGGCAGGGCCCAAAGCCCCAAGGGGGATCTACAGATGCCACAGCGGGATTTAAACAGCTCTGGCGCCTCCAGGGCCTCTCCTCCTCCTAATCTCCCCTTCTCATGTGCCGGAGCCTCCTGGAGTCCTCTTCCTCATTCCCGCCCCAGGGCCTTTGCACATGACATCTCCCATGCCCAGACCATGCTTCCTCCCATCTCTTAAATTTCTCAACAAAACGCCACCTCGAGCACCTTGCTGGGACCTGTGCACACGCGCTCACTGCACCCGCCATCCTGACATCCTCCCAGCCGTTCGCTTCCTCCTCAGGAGCTTAGGGGAAATTTGGCCCAGCCAACACTCAAGAAACACGCACTGCTGGAGTGACTGGAAAATTCCACCCATCCGTCAAGTCGTTGCTTTTATTTCTTCCTCAGGAGGGGAAAAGGGAATAATTCACAGGAAAATGAAAATCTTAAGCAAAAGCGAGACACCATTTGCATAATGACAA